ATTAGATCACCATTGTGGTCTGTCCAAGGTCTTGGTTAATGCATTTACCGACTTTGAGATAGTGACAACGACATAGAGAAAAACGTCGAGTAGGATTGAACTTTTGTGACAGTTTTACGCCTTTAGGCGAACGTAGTACCTTTGAGTAGCTGCCCCACAGTACCATCCATCCATTAGAATTCGTCTAATGAACAGCCTAAACATGGAATACGTGATGCGATCGATCTCGGAATTTCGAATTTTCTGTTTGAGGAATGTGTGAAATGAACGCAAGTTCTGTGTGAAGCTTTTCTGTTCTTGATGAGTCTAGGTCTTGCTGATGCGCATCAAGCATGTGTCTCGTGAATGCCGATGTTCGTTGGCTTTGCTGCAGAGAGTGGATATTGAGTCATGAGAGACCTCGACACGTGTAAAATATCACAAACGATTTTGCTGATTCGCATTTCTAAAACGTTTTTTTCTGAGCAAAATGCATCCGTAGATTTTTACAGAGATAGTGAATAGGTATATCCAGGTTGCTTGGTATTATGGACGCACAATAGTTCAAACTTAAAATGCTCTGGACATTCTGTTGCTCAAGTGTTCTCGTTTTGAGTCATCCAACGCCATAGAATTTGACAGTACGTGAACTTTGCTGTTCTTTTAATAACCGTCGGTGTTCTAGACCAATCCTAGGGGAATTTTGCGCACTTACTATGGAGAATGTAATAGCACAAAAATGAGATGCGTAAATAACGAAAATGTGCCTCAATGTGAATAACCTGGCTGATTTCGTATATGCACAATGATTAACTAGAAGGCTCAGTTAAACTAAATCAGTTTTCCCGCGGAACCTTAGGGTTCAGCGGTAATTTTCTAAATTTAAGTGCATTGAGTGATCCTATAGACTGCAAATTTTTGAACATGCTGGTGATGCCATCGGTGTGGCTATGGAAACCACACCAGGGCCGACGATCTGCGGTGACACAGTTCGACCGAAAGAAGGCGTAGAGACGGCAGATAACACCCACCTAGCTCAACCGGTTTACTATGGCAGTAATGGTGTGTGTGTTGGGTTGAGCTTAGCGAATGGTCAAGCATGGGCTGGATAAATCGGGTCATCGCGGTTCATAGGCCATCTAAGCAAGACGTTGATGTTTAGTTTGTGGAAGGCTAACCGTTTGTTGCGGCCCTTGGGGCGGAAATGAAAACCACACCAACCACCGCAATGATGTCGTTAAAAAAATCTGAGACACATGCAACACAACATTTAACCACGACAGTCTGCACACACGACACAGTGTCTGGAAATATAATTTAATTCCAATGGAAAGCCTCCAAAGGAGATAAAAAAAGGAGGTGTTAATTTAAATAACATAACACTTCATCGTGAGATGGCGGAAACCTCCGTAACAGGTCGGTTTCTTGATTTGCTTCCACTTCAGGTTATCGCACCCGCAGCTAAACCACATAAGTGGGCAGTAGTAGACAGTATATTCCACGCTGACAACCTCGGAACTACAATAGACGGGAGTCCCGTTTCTGCCTCAACATTTCATTAAAAGTAGAGATGCGAAAAGGAATTTCTTGGGTTCCGAAGTCTTCATTCACAAAAGCAAGTCACCTGAGGTCTGTTAACGGCAACATTTGACTACTTTATGAGGAATAAACGGCTGAAACCCAGCACTCGGCTAAGGAATCGGCTCAGCACAAAACTGTCCTGAAAATGCACTATTATCAGTCGTAACAACCACCATGTGATTCTGCTCTGCCTAACTAATTCATTGATCAGAACCGTCCTCCGTTTCGAATTTTATGTTCTGTTGAATTCTTGTTTTTATGTGCATGGCAAAATAAGTGCAAGATAAATTAACAACCAAACAGGTTTTTATTCGTAATTTGCAAGTTAAAATTATCCAATCTGTTGCTTGATTGAGTATTTTCTTTCTGCATGTTGTTGTTACTCAAATTTATTCAGTACAAATTAAACAGAGAGCTGACGCGCCTAAATAAAAAGGGTAACATGCCATTTGGTAAATTCGTTGACAAGCGCCCCCAACTGAGGAACGTCGACAAGGATTGGCCGAGGCCCGAATAAATTTCTACACCGGGGCAACCGTTGTTTCAAGACATTCCTACTCCCCCAGTGCGCCTAACTTACCCTCGAAACCGGGCGTTCCAGTTGCACAGGCTCACCGAAGTTCCCAACATTGCCTGTGAGGCCTTTACTGACGAAGTTCATACGACGCACGCGTCTTCAGTGCGTGACTTGTTTGGTCTGTGGGAGGACGCCAACATTACAACTTTTCAGTGGTGAAGCATGTCGACAGTGTGGGCGTGGCAGATGTTACCAGTCTGGAGCACAAACGAACGGTGGAGTTGTGAAGACTGCCACCGAGTCGACATGACGTCAATCAGGTCTGCATTTTTTAGACAACAATGATGACGAATGAGGCAGTCCGACGAGCTTTACTTACTGGACATTTCGAATATTGACGAATTCGATGTTCTTATTTGGACAAAACTGTTTGATGAGCATCGCCCACATTCCAGAATTAACACCTGAAGCACACAGTAGCTAGCTTCAACAGGAAGTCGCTGGCGCGGTTTTTAACACCAATAAATGAAGATTAATGTGCACACATCGGCAGCGTGGACATTATCATCGAGGGCAGAGTGGAGTCTTGGTAGACCCCTGATAGAACGCCACCCATCAATTCGACAGAGGCGCACTGCGAATGGTCGGGATATTCAGCGAGGCCTACTACGATCATCCACACCTCGACTACAATGACCCAAACGTGATACATGCGAACGAGGATCAAAATCCGTCAGCTAAGTAATTAACATCCGATTAACAAGCTAGCTTGCAACCTGCGGAAACATTATTTTGTATACGCTAAGGTGACTCAACCTTTCAGCAAGCCAGAAGAATTTAGGACCTAAACAGGTAAAATCCGGGCTACCAAAGCTACCGAGTTAGTTCAATAGCAGCTGGTTTTTGTTAAATGTAGTTCAGGACTGGATATGTTTATTCACTGTTCACTCCGCAATCAAAGCAATGATAGCAAAAGCAGGTCTGAAGATCTCCGAACTAACATTGACGTATATTTGAACCCAAAAGAATGTGACACCATGAATCATGTTAGTTGAACAACAATTTTCCTGTACATTTAGCGGTTCCGTGAATCAATAATGCGACTGACAATGAAGGGACAAATGCCTCCGTCTGCACGGCTTCTTTTGACCTGCGAATGGCGCTAGTCAAATCACGAGTCAGACCGAATACGACATTGCGCCCACCCAATATTGCCCGCCTGGTTTGTTCGCACTGCGATTGAGGAAGGCGATAGGGACATACACACAACGTTGTTTTCGTACTTTAAACGCAAGTTCAAACCACAAGTCGACGAAGAAAAATGGAAACCCGTGCGGATGGACTTGGTGGCACTACAAAACACAATCGGAAGTCCATCTTCTACGACCGCATTTGCCACATTGCTGGATTGGCATGATAAACCAGCAATTCCCTTCGCGATGGGACAAAGCCCAACTTCGAGCTGCTTCATAAGCACGGTTTGGGATCGCGAACCCAAAGGTGAAAAGACATCTCCAGAACCAGGATCAGAGTACACAACCGGAAATGCCTCTGTGGTGAATCGTGTTGATTCACGTTCACTCGCCCTGTCACCGCACTCTCCAGCTTACTGCCCCCTTTTCACAGCGAGCCCGTTAATCATATGCGGAAGTGTCTGCTCACCCACCGCTGTGCATGTACCACATGCCGGGGCCCTCGACACCAGCAAACATCGGCACCCAGAGGGGCCCGCGCCACTCAAAATACCTCAAATTCTACTTAACCAATTGGAAAGCACGTGAAGTACCTAAGAGACAAGAATGAACCACTACTAATAAGTGCGACCCCCATGACCAAGAAATTCGATTCCAGATGACTGGATGTAAATTGATGTGGTACTAGGTGGTCTAATAGTTGAATATTACAAAGTACCAAATGTGGAGGAGCGGCGTAGACGCGAGTACTAGTTGGGTGACGTCCTGTTTAAAGCGACGTAACACGAATGGATGAGAAGGGCGGTGGTGACAGAATATCATTTGCACTTTGGATGAGCCTCAGTTCGTACCGGTCGGACACCTGCATCTTACAGTTGGGGTCTAAAAACGAAAAAACTCGAAGTAGACGGCCAAAATCATACAAAAAGCACAAAAGGACAAGTTTTAAGGGGGTATTATCCAAAACCAACTCATTTAGACAAGTTGCTTAGACTTAAATCAGGAACACAAGGTATAAAAGCTTTTTTAAAGATTATGGTAAATTATACTAACATGAAAAGCCCGCACATCACAAGTTCACTTTGGACTGATGGTCATGTGGCATAAGAATGAGTTAAATAAGTGGTGGGCAGTACTGCTAAGTACTTTTAAGAGTTACCAAACCTCAGAAAGTAAAGTGCTTCGCAGAAGCTGCACACCCGATTTAAAAGGAAATCTGAATGAAAACGTTACCAGCATTAAGTTTGTCGGCGTGTTCCAGTGTCCTCTTGAGAACCGACTGCATGGTGCATTGAATCTTGTAGAGCACTTTCTGCAAGTAAGAAATTACCATGTGATTGTCTATAGCCAAGTTTATCAAGCTTCGGCGTAAATTGGCTTGGATTTTAACAAAATAACTAAATTTAGTACATAGTAACAAATTAATTTAGCAAAAATAAAGTCCACTTAGAGCGGAACACTAAACGTGTTTTAATAGGCAGATGAACGTCATTGGGTTGAAGGAAGAGAATATTTCCTGGCTTCACACTTCCCAGTCTGGTTTTTTTGGCACGGAATTCGAGTAATCAATATTAACATCCCCAACTAAACGCTTAAGAGCCACTGCAAATCTATTGCTTGCATTTAAATACGTTCGGTGAAGGCTTAAGACATATTTTATTCTGGCAGAATGAAGACGTATAGTGTGTGTGTGTGTGGTGCTCATGGAAGTCTTAAGTGCTTAAATCAAATCAGAAGTCTTTACACGGTGATATGTCATTAGACCTCCAAATAAACGCAAATTCATTAAAACGAAAAACATGACACAATGAAGCGACTCCTACCGTCATATCGATATTGCTGCAGTCTTTTTCAAAGTATGCAAGTATTAAGCAGCTAAACAGGTCACCGGTGCCAAAAAACGTTGCGCCCAATTTCGGGAATGTGGCGCGAATCCGAAGAGCTGACAAAAATAAAAAAAATTATTCACAACACTGCATAAGTCATGGGATTATATAAAAAGCGCCTAATATAATTTGCTGTCAAACAGTTGAAAAAACATTACTATCCAGAATAATAAAAAGTCTAAACTGAAATTTACTTCCAAGAATTGGCCGGTCGATATGTACCAAATGGCGTCCCAGCAAATACGGGGACTTACAATAGGTCAAATTTAAAACCAAAGGTTAGGAAACAAAAAGCAGCTTTTAAGTGACGAGCAGAATTTAAAATGAGAAGAAAACAGCCGATAGAAGCTATTTATAAGTCACTAAAAATAGTAGGCATTCTCCTAAAAAGCAATGCATCGAAAAAAATCACAATAAAATGAAACGAAGAATTTGAACAATAAAGAAAATCTTACTTTCATGTGAGTTGGCGTTACCCCAAATATGATTTACGGCAAGATCTGGGCGGTAACTCAAATATGTTGCGAGCATTTGGTGGCCTTGGTCATCGAAAAATGGAAGTTCTGTGCTACTGAGGATAATGGTTGGAATGTTATGGGTCGAATGGAGCAGATCCATGCAACTAATGGCAGATTTCTCATCCGTTATTTTGCACCCAGTTAGGAGTCTAGAAAAATAGGCAAATGCTTGAATAATAAAATTTTATAAGTCACCGACGAATAGATGTCAGAAAAGTACATACTCTGCTTCAAACTGATTGGGCATTAAAACATCAGCAAGAGGTAGGATGGAGTCCACATAAATCGGAATCAACTCCTTTGGTACATACTGCAAGAAGTCATGGTGTAGAATAGGGACGCAAAATAGATAGAACAGTTTAAAAGTCATTTACTTACAATGTGTCCATTATCACCAAGAACGGGATCGCAGTCTAGAACATAATTTTTGATGAGCAAAACGTACAAAACCTGCATGACGGGTTAACCGCCTTTATGTCCGAAACGATGTGTGCCAGTTTGTTAAGAAAGTTAGGATCCCCGACATAGCCTACATATAAAATAGAAAGGACTGGCAAAATACCTGTTAGCAAGGCATCATAAGCATTAGACCCATTTCTCTTTAAGGAGTCATAAATAGTCTCCAGATCTTTAAGAGATAAAACTTGTCCGGTACAAAAATCATATTCTAAAAGCTGCTCGTTTAATTTAAAAAAACATACGCGTATGGCAAGATAACTGGACCGAATTTATGTTGTCCACCTCATAATTGTGCAACTATCAATAAAAAGGGTAATCCAATTCCGTCAGAGGACGCACCTGCAAAGGAAACATCACGCTCCGATTTCCTACATATCCGTGAACGACATGACTTTGAACGGAGAGCACACGTTTAGGATCACCCATCAGAGCGTTACAACAGGAAAACGCTTAAAAGCGTGTGAACAACAATTTCGTATCGCCGCGACGGAGGGACCAATATAAGTTAGACGTTTGATTATACACAACAACACACATCAAATTTCATACCTGAATCAAAATTTCCTAAAAAAGTTATTAAAAGTTGTATTTTAAAGTGCATAATCAACACGTCGTGTAATTATTCCTACTAGTTCACAAAAGCATGAATGATTACGATTGTTTCAAATGCAACTTGATGTTTTTAAAACAATTTAGTTACTGAGCCTACACCCTAATATTATTGCATTAAAATGTTTATTGAAACTCATAAGATGCCTAATAGGTGTATTTACCTAAAATCAAGGCCCATTCAATTACAGTATATTATCTAAAGCGAAAATATCCTTCTAGGTAACTTGGGTGATGTAGATAACATCGTCTACAATTACTATGCTAAGACATATAACTATATTCAAATGACTTAAAATACACATGATTCTTACTGAAACTCGATGCTTTAAATAAAATGACAACGTTGAATTAGACATTTTTAATTCAACCTTTTTGCTTACAAACTCTAAATGCACTCTTACATGATTCCATTTTCCTTTGCAAACACTCAAATATAAATTTATCAGTGCATTTAAAATATTCCAAAAAATTGTCCTTAACATTCGTGCGCAGAAATTTGAAAGAATCATGCCATGAACGGCCCCTTTGTGGACGCATTTTGAACACCTTTGTCCCAGTGATGCATTTCTCAATTGGAATTGTTAACCTAATTGTTTTCAAGGTTTTTCCTTGTAATATTCATAGCTTAGGGTAATACATACACAATAGTAAATGTTTGAAATGACCTAATATTCTTTGTGATTTGCCAAGTCTATCAGATAGCGGGGCTTATATCTACAAAAAAAAACATATTTTCAAAGGTACCCAAATCTATAAAAATATTTTTCATACATAACTTCGACCTTTAAATAAGGTTTTTAAACAAGTCTAACTGTATGCACCTTAACTTTTTGGGCAGATTTGTCTCAAACATTAACCCCGTGATTTATATATCTTGATTTTTTTGAATTTATTTAAAACTTCAACGCAGCTGAGAGGTGAATAAATGTTCGTAAAGTCGTTATGTTAATGTGTTGTGCACAGACATGTGTAATGATTATCCCTTTTCTAAAAAAACTTCTTTTTTAAATTGATTTGTTAATGCTTTTTTAGCCCCTTAAAATACTGGTTGTAATTTTTTCCCGACGACGGTCTTTGCAGGCAAGTCCTTCCAGTCACACGATCACCATTTACCACCTAATTTGAATTCATGAAGTTAATGTCCGAGGAAATGATGCATTTAGTTTAATGTTTTGCGGGCGGATTGTATTAAATAAGTGTTTAATTCTGGCCCTGTATGATAAGGTGTGGGTATATTTACTGAGTAGTCAGCAATCTCGTGGATTTTGACGAAAGTAATGCATTTTGGATTCAGTTGTCCCTGAGCACTGTGGGTATTCCCAATTTGTGAATTCTCGTTGCAGCACAAGATAGGATTTCCTTCAGGTTCAATTAAAAGTCTCAATTTGGACCTTAGATAACGGCGACTATTACGAAACTGTTTATCATTTTTAGATATTTTTGACTCGTTTTTTCTTAAAAAATATCACATGTTTAATATTAACTCAAAAATATTGTGAAAAAGTGAACCAAAATGCGTACAGCATCATTATTTGCTATTATTCGCGCTTAATCGTTTCATGGTTCCTTAAAGAACGCACAGTTTCTGGTTGTCATGGTAGGTAAAGTATATGGTAAGTCAATGCTAATTTCGCCCTTTAAACATTTGATATTCTTCAACTCTCTTACGTTACATTTATCAGACGTGGCATAAAACAGAATATCATTTTTGAGATTTTTTTAACATTTTTGAAATTTTTGACTTCAAAATAGCACATTATGCATATTGACTGCCAGCAATCTAGTTTTAGATTGTGGTCGTAAATTACACTTTGAGTATTTACTGTTTTCCATTCCTTCAGAGATGCAATTTTCTCGCTGTCTAAAATGTAACTTGAAACTTTAATGCCCATGTGTTTATTAGACTCTTATTCTATTATTAATTATGTACAAACCAAAATAAATGTTAGAAATCACGGTCAGGTTAATCATCAGCGTTTTTACAATTTTCCTGACTGCAGGTTGCTTAATCCTGGCAAAACACCTTGAACGTTGCATAAAGTTGTGAATTTAAAACATTCGCAATTAATTAGGCCATTTGTATTTCTCGTATAAAAGCATTGTGCGCTGACAATATGCTCAAACCTCAATTTCAAAAAGAAATATAAATCAATCTTCTTAAGGTCTTTTAAAATCGCATTTGCCACAGTATACAGGCTAACACGTTTAGGAATACACAGTAAAAGCGAGGCATGTGCTTCAATAATTTTAGTAGTGTCGAGGAAGAAAAACATACATGCGGCCGTATGGTAGAATGATGAAAGTTGCAAGATTAATGCAATTATTTTTGGAACGAAGCCTGGTTTTTAGCAGATTGTCATGAAATACGCATGGGCGGAGCATGTTTGCATGATTGTTGACTTCAATGACTTGATCAAATTTGTATGACTTCTGTTATCAGTCGTCTTTTGCGCATTTGTACTTGGTTTGGTTGAAGCTAATAAATTGTCGTATCCACAGTCGCCAGTCTACCAATTGTTCTCATGATGTTACGTGCTGTTAACTAGTGGATTGTAAGGTAGCGACAACTAAAGAGACAACAGATTTTTAAAAAAGTTAGTGTTATTGACTCATTAAGTTTAACACGTAGTTATCGATGATTTAGAACTCGATTGATTCAACACTTCACGATAACGTGTTTGTGTGCTACGCTCCGCGAAATCAAAATGACATCGGCCATTGCAAAACAACCAATTCGTGATATGATGACTTTAGTTCTAGAAATACTGGCCCTTTTGACTAACCACAAGTGTAAATTGTGACAGGGTAGCCCTAGTATATGACTGGTACAACCGAATAGATTTCATTGACTGATCACAATCCACAATCATACGTCAAACGCCGTCCATCCGAGTGTCGCACGCTGTCAGCGCCACTCATTAAATGCCGGCTCATACTTGTCTGTGGTTGGCTGTATATCTTCCTCCCATGCCATTGGATCGCAGAGAGACAGAGGATTGGCTGAGGCCTCGTGATGTCCTGCATGTCTACGCACAAATCCGCCGCCACACTGCCTCCCCCTCCGGAGTGAAGCTGTCCTCAGCTTCTGGCTTGGTTCATTGCACTATTCATGGTTGTTAAAATATCCAGTTCGACACTCCCTGCACCCTACATCTCTCAGGATAGTGGCCAATGCGAATAGTTGACGAGGGACTTTGCGCTTGTAGACTTGCAGGAAGGACACTTCATCCATCGTAGGTCCTTTCACAGTTGCAGTCCAGCTGGATTCTACTGCCCAAGCCTTCGTCGCTGAGTTGCCAATGCTTCTTTATATGCATTAGGCCTAATCACGAGCAATGTCTATGGATCCACTTTATTGGACATCGGATGATCGCCATGACAACTTTTGCTGGCATTTAAGGGTCTTTGACTCTGCTGACCATTGAAAAGAAAGAGCTGGGGTCCGATTAGCGTTATTCGAACGCATCCGCTGCCACCAATGTAGAATACCTGAGCCCTAATAGGTTAAAGAATGGTACAACAGAACAGGCATTATTGACCAATCACAGGCCAGAACCACATGTCAGGCGCCAGCCATCTGAGTCCACCACGCTGGCCATGCCGCTCATTATATACTGCTCCTCAGTCGTGTCCTTCTCTGGTTGGCTGCTTATGTTCCTCGCACGCTATCGGAATGCAGAGAGACACGGGATTGGCTGAAGCCAGGTGGTCCAACATGTCTGCGCCCTAATCCGACGCCACTT